TTTTGTTTAAAAAAACGAATGTTACGTTTCCTCGTATTTTGGTCAAATGACAAATAAGAGTCAAGTCAGATGTACATAATACGTCATTATTGATAAAGTATGAGATTGCCCAAATATTTTATGATTGATTTGATAACCTTAAAGATGTCTTTCAAAGAATATGTGAGAATTAAGTACATAGGTTGTTGCTGATGGGAGATGTTAGCCACTAAAATGCCTTAAATTTAGGGTTTGGTCAAAACAGTGAGAAGATGTCTTTACTTTAGGCTAAATAATAGGAAGAGATGGAATTACAGAGTAAAAATAAATTGCTGAGCATTAAGTCTGATAAACATAGAAGATGATAAAGTTGATTAGATTTGAAGTTGTCTTTTCTTCTTGTTGAACAGCCAAACCAAAGTTAGCTAATTAATTATGCAAAAATGAGTAGATTTTGTCGTTTTTAGGGGGGGTCCCTGTAAATCCCAGGGAATTCAATATTGCGACCTTATTTTTTGTCGAGGTTAATATCTCACCACACCCATCAATTGTGCCAAGTTTGAGCGAAATCCGTGATTTGAGCATTATCACCGCCTGCCTGGTTCTCTCATGGACACACTCTTAAAGGTTTAAAATTTACATATGAAAGCGGTCAGAAAATATGACGTCATAATTTGACATTTGATGTCATTTTAAAAGCCCATTTGATTGGCCTGGTGATTACACCTTTTGCTGTTCATTACGAGAAAATACGCAATCATTTGCGTAAAACCGCGACCAATAGCGCGAAGATACATTCATTAGCGCGAAAAAGCGAACATTTGAGCATAAATCAGATTCAAAAACGATTTTTGCATTTTAATCAACATTCAATAACACTTTTGGGCATTCATATGGGTCATTGGGCATACAAAAGAGAAAAATATACTTTCATTAACGCCAACATCAAAGTCATTAACACCATCTTGAAAGTCAATAGGGACAACTGATATACATTAAAGTGCAAGCACTGCTCATTAACATTTTCATGACACTGTTTACAATTCAATAGCATTCCTGGACAACCTTAGGATGGATAAGACAAACATTAATGCGCTTGTACAATCAATTGAGCGTTCTTTACATTTAATATGCAAAAAACAATTTTCAATTAAACAATAGAAATTCAAACAAATTTGGCCCGAATTTCACTCCGTTAAATGTACATCCCTCAAAAACCTCGCTATTCAAACATTTTGGGAGGTAGGTTTGTATGAAATGGTACCCCTTAGCACATTTAGCTGCGGTCACAATGTCATGTTTTTGCGCAGAGCTTCAAGCACTGTAGTTGTTGTTTCCAAACTCCGCTAGCGGGATTGGTGGGACTTTGCCCTCATTCCTGTTATACATCTTTAAATTTCCAGACTCGAGATGTCGGCCTTTGGTGTCGCTTTCAGACAACTTAAATCCTTTTCAACGATATCGAGGGGGAAAGCATAAGCTGTGTATGTGGGGCGGGAATGGCCAAATCTAGGTGGGCTGGCACCCCCTTCATACGCAAAGACCACGGATTTATCGGAATCCATTATTTCCTCGCCCGTGCCAGAAAAAAAACCGACACAGTATTCATTACTCCAGCAGATGCCAGGGAAAACATTGATAGGTGATATTGCCATGGTCATAGTCAAGTTTCGTCCTCTTTGGCCGCACACTTAGCGGTATGCCCTCCACTCCCTGTCGCGCCCCACCATGACTTCTGGCCGTCTAAGGAAAATGTATAGCCGCAGCCGTCGACAAACAAGCAGTGGCGAAGTGCGACGTGATTCTTTAAACAAATTCAGGCCAATTTTAGGGGGAATTGGTATTGTTTAATTGAAAATAGATTTTTGTATATTAAATGTAAAGAACGCTCAATTGATTTTACATGCGCATTAATGTTTGTCTTACCCATTCTAAAGCTGCCCAGGAACGCTATTGAATCGCAAAGGATGTCATATGATTTTCAAGGTAATGTTAATGACTCGCATGTTGGCGTTAATGAAAACATATTTTTCTCTTTTGTATGTCGAATGACGCAAATGAAGGCCCAAAAATGTTATTGAATGTTGATTAAAATGCAAAAATCGTTATTGAATCTGATTTATGCGCAAATGTTCGCTTTTTCGCGCTGATGAATGTATTTTCGCGCTGTTGGTTGACGATTCACGCAAATGAATGGGTATTTTCTCGTAATGAACAGCAAAAGGTGTAATATTTCTCCAGGCCATGTTTGTTTAAAAAGAGTTAAACGGAACAGAGTTATTGTAAAGCAGGAACCAAAATGTCACACTTTAATGCCACATTTAGGATTCTAAAATTTATAACGCTTAAACATTGTCTTATTTAAGAGGAAACTATGCCATGCCAGCACGATTTAAAGGCAGCCCTGACTTATAGCGCGACATTCAGGTCAAAAGAAAACGTCTTCCTATAGAAATTAACTGAAGAAATACTTTCAATAATCCACATAAAAAATAAAAACTGGCATAAGGCAACAAGTTGGCTAATTCAAATTCGTCAAGTAAGAAACAAATCCGGCTGCTAGCAATCAGGACAGCTCAGCTCAGGACTCGACTAAATCCGATAACGCCGGATTGCGATTTGGAAGCGCTAGCCACATACATTTAAGTACACATTTTTTCTTTTAATGTAATATACCTGGGCAAGTATCACCAGTAAGTTCAGAGGGTTCGTTTTCTTTTTTTTTATATAAATTCAGCCTTCTTGATTTTGGATTCTCTTTAATTGCTTAACAAAACAAAATTTGCAGTTAAATGTGTTGATAGAAAAAAATATATATAATCGAACCCCTTTTAACGAGTGGCTTTATACGATAATTCATGACAAATATTGATGCTAGGAGATGGCTAAATAGAGGTTCGACGGTACTTACCAACACCTTGAACAGATCATGGTGCAATGTTCGGGTGCGAAATCCTCGCTCAAAGAGTGAAAATCACGGTTGAGAAATTGGCGCACACGACGAAGAAAAGAATCCCCGAGAGTTCAAACACGTTGCGAAGCCTAAAAGTCAGCTAAACGTCAGTGAAACACAAAAGATTATACACGCTGAGTCGGTGAAAAAATCAAAAGGGGTAGGCACTGGAATGGAACAAGATTCTGATTCGGGTTATAAACCAGCTACGCTTTTTACCTGCTACCCGAGCCCTTATGTTAAAAATAATGCCTTGTCATAAAATCCCATAATGATGTCTACTTAATGCTGTTTTTTTCCTATTTCGGTTTAAATAAATTAAAAATGGAAGAAAGGAAGACGATTATGATGACGTTAATGATGATGATCGACGTTAAGGACGATGAAAGTGATGATGTTGTTGGTGATGATGATAATGATTTTGATGAATGGAGGGTATCAACTACCATTATGACAAAACGTCCAATTCAAACTACAATCAAGCGGATAAGCCATTATAAAAGACAGTTCTCTTACGCGAACATCTTGGCTCACAGTAATATTTTACCCATTTCACAAGGTCTGGTACACGTAAGTTTTAGTGCATAATCTTTTAAAGATGGAAGCAAGTGCGCGATTCTTTTAACCATCTCCGGTCTGGACTCAGTAATGAGAAAATGATATAGTAAAATTACGATTCATAACGGTAACTTCTTTAGGTGGCAACTTTAAGACGATTTCCATTAATTTTCTTTATCTTGTGATCAGACAGTCCCATGTTCTGAAAGTCGTCACTGTTCTATTCCCAAAAATCGTCGATAGAGCCGTAGTCTTTGGTATTGTATTCTTCCATGTTCGCGTAAATATGCTGTCAAGAAAAAGTGATAGTTCCAGATTTAGTAACACCACTTGTACCCAGCTTTTTCTTTCAACTATCGCTTAGTTTTAAAGTCAAAGTGCGAGATGTTTATTTTTTACCTTTTTGTATTCTTAATTAGCGCCGAATAAAAAAAAAACATAGAACTCAGAAGACTTGGCACTGTGGAGCCGAATTTTCACATTTAATCATTGCAGCTTAAAAGCGTCAACATCCAATTTCAGTATTTCCAGCTGTTTTATTTGAACAGTCTTTCTTAAACGAATATTCGCAATGGGGTATACGGATCTCTTTCACTTATTCTAGGAGTACAAAATATATTCACCGGCAAAGCGATCACCAGACATTGTGTTCTGCACGAGGCGATTTTAATTGAAGAATCACATTAAAAAATCGAGGATAGTTAAAGGGGTGCTTCTCATGATTTGTTACGTAGAATTTGGTTGTTATGGAGTTTGAGTTTCTTATTATGGAAGGAAACTATGGGGGCAGTTAATTAAGAAGCAGATTTTTCTGGTAAGGAAATATCGCAGCCGGAAGGGTTTTCTTCAGTATGCGATTGCTGGCCTGAGCCAAGCCAGTTTGTGACGCAGTTGAAGTTTTTGTCTTTTGTGAGTTTCTGTATGGTCATTAGATCTTTTGTTTTGCAATCATATTCCGTCATTGTAATGTTTGTTTTTGCCGAAAGAAAGCACTTAATTATAACACATACGTTGTTGTTCTGCAACATGACTGCCATCGAATCCTTTAGTTCAGAAAAAACTACCAAGCAAAAGGCGAAATAGTTAACAATAAAAAGTGATTAGTCACTATTTATAAAACAAAGTCCAATCCGATTTAAGCAAAAACCAAAAAAAAACCCTTTCTACAAAATATTCACAAATTCAAGAACCTTTCAAAAGAAGTTTACAACCACTTGTCACTTTTCAGCGGAGAAAATAATAACAGTAAAAAAAGATATATTATCGCAATTAATCTGATAAAACAAGGCTAAATGGTTACTCTATGTATGGTTTTCTGAAGAATAATTTTTAAACACATGAGAATTAAAAAGGAACATAACAAATAGATCGGTAGAGTAACATTTCGACACCGTATTAAAAAGTGTCACAAACCACAGTTCTTGATGAATTTAACATGTTTGTCAATTCTTCTAAAAATCATCTCTTTCACAAATGAAATGTTCTTTACACTGTAAGAAAGACATTCTACTCACAGCTTCTGGTCAATATGTTTCGGTTTTGGCATCCTGTAGCCATCTTTCAGTTTGTTTGCAATTTGATCACCTTCTATGCCAGGATATGGACATCCACCTGCAAACACCGTAGCAGCGAGGTTGCAAGGATAAGATAGCTCCGTCACTTTTAAAATTGTGCTTAATTTGCTTCCAATCCTATATTTTTTTATTACATCTATGTTAAGGTGGGTCTGAATTGGGTGGGGGTCCACTTGTCGGTTGTCGGTTAAAATTCAGTCACTTTGTCGGTAGTCGGTTAAAATTTTCGATCTTTGTCGGTTGGGCCATCCCCCTTTTTTTTCTTCGTTTACTATCGAATTCGTTTCTTGATATTGGGTCGGTCGGTCGGATAAAAAAATCACAAGAAGTCTCGGAATAATTGGCCCTGGTACCCCTGGACGACGTTAAAAGTTAACATTCGCATATTTGGATTAACAAAATGTACAATATACTGTGAAAAATGTTAATCTTTTTGGTCCTGTTTTTCTCTATGCTGTTACTATATACCATGCTCATTTTTCAGATTAAAAGAATCATTTCAAGTTAAAAATGGTGTAACTACGTCGTTCCTTTTTTTTTTGAAAATGTCAAAAATTTGGGTCGGTTGGATGACGGTAAACGGAGAAAAAAAAGAGGATGGTCTTTGTCGTTAAATCTCAGTTAATAATTAAAAATGTATGTTAATTATTAATGTTTGTTATAAAATTTACGTAGTTTTAAGACTTTGAGCCCCATAAAACGTGCAAAACTTGTAACTTGAAAGTTTTGTCTGATGTTTTTTAAATTCGAATACTCTTGTCGTGTGTTTATCTGTGGACCGGAACCCGGCTACGGTGGCGTTCGATTGCGACTCCTTCGCCTTTTCGGAAAAAACTCACTATCACTTTTATGATTCCACTCATGGCTGGACAGACAGCGTGGTTGAAGTATTACAGCGGGAGGTTTCGGGGGCTCGAGTACCGGAAATTGTTCTGCAAAATGATCCCACGCTCCTCCAACCAAATAGTAAGCTAGAAAAAATACAAAATGCTCTTCTGATCTCTTCTTTCTGAAAACAAATATCGATAATGGCGGTCCATGTCGGTAGTCGGTAGTATTTTTCGCCCTTTGTCGCTAGTCGTTTAACCCCATTCACACCCTCTTAAGGGAATACTTAAAATAATCAATAAGTTTTCTTACTTACACAGCAAATGCAAAGTACCGTGTCATTACTCATTCGACTGATTGCAAGCTATGATTCATAAGGTCACATGTCCAATTATAATGTTAAGTATAGAGTTATCTTTACTCAGTAACCATTTGACAAAAGCAAACATACCCACACTAAATATCTCGTACAGAACAACGCCAAAACTCCACCTGAAAATATAACGTAAAAACAGGGGATAGCATTAAAAAAAAAAACGATTAAATCAGAATAGAATCACCTACAGCTGTACCAAACGATAAAACGCGCCACAAAGTAGTACGCGCTTTTAACTAAACGGGGTCATCGTTGGAGGGTTAAAATTAGGCTCCATAAACAATCATCCCGCTTGTAAAATACTTACACGTCACTCTGAGTAGTATATGTCCCATAAAGTAAAGCCTCGTAAGCAGTCCATTTCGCTGGCAGCCGACCCTGTAGAGTTCATTTAAAAGGTTAAAGTTAAACGTTCGTTTCCAAGTTCCATATTCGTTTGGATACAAAAAAGTCACATCTTTATTTCTGTTCCTTTCGTTTACATCAAAGTACCAACAGTTATCCAGTCAAAGCTTTTTACAGTTCCATTTGAGCTCTAAGCTACAGGTTATGAGTGACTGACTGACTGACTATGAAATTTCCCCCCGATGTATTTTCCTGTGTTGAAAAGGAGATAAGATGAAGAATTGGGTTTTAAGTACTAACCCGACTTTTCTTTGTGTAAATGTTATCTCGGTAAACATCCCTTGCCATTCCAAAATCTGTAACTTCACATTTCTCTCCTTCACCAACCAAAACGTTTCTTGCTGCCAAGTCACGATGGATTACCTTCCATAAAGACGGAGAAAAGTAAAATTCAGTAAGACAAAAAATGCAGAACGAAAGAAAATGACTTCTTGTGAAATGTTGCCTGCGTCGCAGACGCTCTAAAGTTTCTGTACAGAGCGTCTGCAAATTATATGCACAATATCGTGTTCGAATCTTAGAGAGTCGCAAATTAAAGACATTTGTCGGCGTTTTTGATTGGCTAGTTTCTTACGCAGTTTGTGATTAGTCCGATTTGAATTAAGTGTTGACAGGACACAAACACGACTAATGGCTCATGACAAGAGAGATCGAGCTCGTGATAGTGTTCAACGTGACCTTAGCTAGAGTCAGTTTGAAAGACAGAGGATTTTCTTGCTCGCTTTTTGCGTAGTTTATGCAGTGCATGAAGCATTTTACATTTTGACTGAGCCGCTTTGAGTCTCACATTTAGAGATTATGAAGCTGGTCTGTTCCATGCATATTGAGTAATTAGTTCTTGTGGTTTATACTTCGGCAAAATAATTTTTTTCATTTCTGACAGGATTTGATCACAGATGCAGTTTACCATTGAATTAGTATCTTTTGCCTTTGTGTAAGCCCTAAGCTTACTTTCTTTGCTTTTCTTCGAAATGCCTGGACCTGAATAACTACATGTGTGTAGTGTTTTAGACCGTCAATGTCATGATTTCTTGATTTGTTTTGACGCTAGAACTGTCGACTTGATTGCAGAATACGCGGCAGTGCATTCGCAGCAATTGAAGACGCTGGAAAACCAGTCGGCAAATTTACAAGCAAATGCTGTTCTTAAAGGATTTCTCTCAAAGCATTTTTTTGTTCAGAAGAAGGCTTTAAAGATCGAACTTCTCTTTCATTTTTTGACCGTAAACGATCCTTGTTAACTCCCTCCTGTGAATTTTGACTTGTAACTGCGCCCAACCGTCACGCACACGTAAAAATTAGGCCAATCGTGAGGCGCATAAAAAACTCTTAAGAAACCCGTTCAGAAACGCTCACATATGTCCTTGCGACTCTGTAGATGTTAGAAAGAGCTTTTGTACACTAATTTACAGACGGACTATACAAATTGTTTAGAAAACTGCATGGGCCGGCTGCAACGCAGACTAATGAAATATTATCGAGGCGGGCTTTTAAACTATTAGTCAAGGGCAAATCCGGTTCGATAGTAAACGCCCGATATTGATGCTTCATACAAAATCTTTCGTTCTTTGCCATTACCTTGTTAGAAGAAAGGAATTCCATACCACCAGCAATCTGCCAAGCAAACTGCATCAATTGCTGCGACGTCAGAGTTGTCTTTGGCTTAATATCCGGGTTTTTATAGTAATTGTCCTTAAGGCCCCGACTCTTCCTCAAAAACCCCAACAAATCACCGTATGGAATGTATTCAATGAGCACAAGTAAGGGATCTGCAAGGACGGTGTATAGTTAATAAAATGATCTTCACTTACATCCACCAAGATTTACTTAGTAGTATACTAATCCAATTGGAGATTACCTGTTTCAGTTACTCATCCCATCAGCCTGATCACGTGAGGGTGAGATTTAAGTTTTTTCATCAATTCTAGTTCTGACAGTAGATCTTTTCTGTCTGAATCTGATGATTTTTCTAGGAGCAAAACAGAAAAATGTCTCTCGTAGCTTTGAGAAGACAAACTGATCTTTGAAAAGAAAGTGGAGTTATCTGATACACTACTCACCTTTGAGCATTTTTGCAGCTACGGTAGTGACACCCTTCGCTTCATTTAAATTCCTCGCCTCCGCTTTTGCAACCTGACAGAATGCTCCCTTTCCAATGACTTTAACTATGGTGACGTCTGTTCTTCTAACTTCCCAGATACTTCTAGCTGGACTTGGTGGTGCGTAGCTACAGGCATCATATATCAAATGCTGTTCCGAATTCGATGAGGGTAACTGTGCAAGTAACTCTACCTCAGCATGCGTATTGATATAAGTAGTATCCTCCGGAAGTGGTTGTCTTTGAACCTGTTATTCATAAAAAGCAGTATCAATCCTCTACTTAATTTTATCCAGGGATTAAAACAAAGACATTTCATTTTTCAAGGAGGGGTTTATCATAAGTTATAAAATGGGTACTATCGTAATTTTCAAACTTATTTCAGTTGCATATAAAATTAATGCTGCAGGCCATCTTACTCTCAATATTTGACTCAAACAATGGCTATAACATAACTAGGATATTCGCCTAATCAAATTTAAAAATGACCAGAGTTGCTGTTTTTAATGGTGTTCTAACCTGTTTTTAATTACCAATAAAATAAAAATTTAAGGGTTTTCCTTGTAACAAAACTTGAAGATAGAAGCAAGTTTTCAAAAACACCCTTAAAAGCCAGGTGAAAAACCCTTTAAAAATGAAATCACTTATATCTGGAGTTATCTAAACTACGTACATGTATGTCTTGGGAATTTTCTTTAAAACTCACCATATTCACATATGATTGTTAAAAATTAAAACACTATCTACTAGAAAAGTGTATTCTAAAATTGTCTATTGAAGTTCCCAAGGTTGTAGGCTATAGCTAGCATGTACTATAGCCCACAAGTCATTTCAACTAGCCCCAAAACCCTTTTTGATTAGCAGGATTGATTACAATCCCTCTGTAATTTGAATTCCCCAAAAAAAAAAAAAACAGCACTTGCCTGTCAGGCAAGTTAAGAACAAAAATCACTAGCCCGATGGCAAAATCCACCAGCCCTGGACTATCGGACACTAATTTCTTTGTATGCTGAGGATCATTCAATGAAACAACAGCTACAGATCTGGAAACAGATAGGCCGAATTAACAAAAACCTAGAATAGACTTCACTGGCATAACTGAAATAAATAAGAATGCTGGAAAGACATAACTATATTTGTTCTACATGAAGCTTGATTTAACATTGCTTAGAGGTAATTTCTTCTCTAAGGCGAAGTTTCAAAATAACAAGTACCGTACATGTAATTGGCAAAACTAAGCGAAATATAATAACATGCCTTCTAGCTGCCTTATCCAACTAAGTTGTACTGTTGTTAATGATATATGAAAACACTACTGGGACAGGCAATTTTTCAGGAATGAGGGTTAGGGTACGAAATATATAATCTACACTGTAATGACAGCATCTGAGTTCTTGTACATCACAGTCTGTTTTTGTTGTTAATTTCCATGACACTGTTCTACTTTCACAAGAGGTCTGTATGACTGTTTGAAATATATTACTTTTAATCAAACAGTGAAACTCTGTTAATACAGACACTGAGGGGACCATGAAAAAAATTAAAAAGCTACTGCTAGAGAAATAAAACAGGACACTGGCATCATTAAACTTAACCCTATTCAGACTGGGGTGGGGGGCTTTTCGAACCCCCCCTCCGGCAAAATCGTGATAACTCCTACACCGAAAGAGCTATGACGTTCAAATTTCGTGACTTTTCCTAAAATTTATCTAGGAACATTTTGGTATAATTACCATGTCCATGTTATTAATCATGTTGCCATGGCAACCAATTTCTGACACATAGGTTTTGGAAAATTTTAAAAATGGTGATTTTTTTGTTTTAAGATCGCGTTTTTACACTTATAGTGCTTTTTGTTGTTAAAATGGTCTTTGCTTGGGACTAGTTTTTGAATAACATCAAAATGTTTCAACATCGAATATTTGAGGGGGAGGGGTGGGGTGAAATTTGTCCCTTTTTTCTTTGACAAATATGCTGCTCTATTTTCCAAATAACACTTCCAAAGTCATTTGTTTGGGTAATAAACATTAGTTTGATACTTCTTTTATACATTCTGAGCTTTTTCCCCTTTGAAAGTTGCTTTAAATTATAATTTTAACAAAAAAACGGAAATCCAAGATGGCGGATCTAAGATGGCGGACAACCATTTCAAATTTTAAATTTTATTGCTTCCTATTGCTTTTTCTCGCTGTACAAGTGTTTCCTTGTTATTAGTTCATAAGAAAGGATAACGAAGAGATGACTTTACCAATATTATTGATATTTTACGTATCTAAGTGGAAAAATAAGAAGAAACATTGAAAAATCGGAATATGACGTCACTGTGACGTCATCATTGGGCGTGGCAAGTCAAAACTGGGTGTGGGGCTTCTTTGTACGGAGATGATCATTGTGTGTAAATTTCATGACCCTAGCATTATTGGTTCCAGAGATACAGAGGGGGGTCCGAGGAACCCCCCCCCCCCCAGTCACAGATTGACCAAAAAAGCCCAGTCTGAATAGGGGTAACAATCTGTGAACATTGACATGCTGTTTCAATTAAGTAATAGTATTTTTTTTTTTCAATTTGAAAAAAGCACATGTACACTGTAGGTCTTATTACAGCAAACGGTTGATAAGAAACCCAACCGCCGCCTGGTTAGGTCAGTTGGGAGAGCGCCGGTCTGCCTAGCGAAAGCTCGCGGGTTCAAACCCCGGCCGGACCAACACTCAGGGTCTTTAAATAACTGAGAAGAAAGTGCTGCCTTTGTAATGACATCTACAAATGGTTAGACTTTCGTGTCTTCTCGGATAAGGACGAAAAACCGTAGGTTCCGTCTCACAACACTTTTACCGATTTGTTTTTGTGGGACGTAAAAGAACCCACATCACTATTCGAAAGGAGTAGGGGTTGAAGAGACTCCGGTTGTGTGGCCAACCTTTACGGGTTGTGGCATTGGGTAGGGATGGCACCTTGCATGGGACCTATGAGTCCCTTCGTGCACATTCCCTCTGAGCAAGCCTGTGTCCAGAAAATCTGGTAAATAAATAAATAATAAATAAATAAAATAAGAAAGAAACCGTATTAGTAAGATCAACCAAGATTAGCTGTGACCGAATCTGTTGACTGAAAAAAGGTTTTTGTATTCCTTAAGCTATTATTACTAGCATTGTCCTAATAACTATTAGTCAATGGATATCTGTATAAAATTGTTTGAATTTAGAGAAAAAAGTGAGGATTCACTGTCATACAGATGTAGCTCCTTAAGAAAACGTTTTTTTTTTTGTGACTTGATAAATTATTGTTCTTGAGTGCATAAGGAATATGAACAAGGCAAACAAAATTGATGCTAGATACAGTGTAGCACAGGCTATACAAAGAAACTGGCAGGGATATCTGCGTAGCTTAAATAAACAACAGTTCTTTGGAATTGTCAGAAAAGGACATACCTTGTCTATTTTCATAGAGTTAAGTTCAAGAATGGTGCAACAAAGTGCTTGGGTGGTATTGCTTTTCAGTTGAAAAGTTGGAGACGTGAATATGTATTCAGTGATTTGGGTTACAAAGAGTTATGGTGAGTCCTGGGACTCATCTTGTGAAAAGTATTGACTCCCAGTCCAGAAACATGGCGTTCCAGATTAAAAAATATACAAGTCTGTAATTGAGAATGCTTGGGCCTTTGTGTAACCAGACAGTTAATCTGACTTATTAGGTTGACAGGCTCCAGTACTCTGTATTATTGCAATACAGTGAAATTAAAATACAGTCCTTTTAAAGGCTAAAATAAATATGCATCCTTCAACAACAGCCATAATAACTGCCACAGAATACACAAACGGGATACTTCCACAAATACACATGTTCAGATTTTTTACGGATCTTTGCGTCCATTGGAGTGCATGCCATGAATATTATTATTTTGCATCTTTGGGGATTTTTATTCATCAGGCATATTTTTTTGTATGGACAAGAGATTATTGGAAGATTTTGTTGTAAAATGTAATCAATGAAAATACTGGATGTCATTTGTAGCTTGTGGTTGTCGCTTCTTCAGAAGCTACACTGTAAATATATATATAGCTGATTAAGTGAAGGTTGGCTACTGGGCATTTGGGCATACCAAACAATGCAATGATTTCCCTGAGTGACCACCAAACAATAGCTTATATTTACTGTTGCTCAATTCCCAATGCCCAACGCAACCTTTATTGAACCAGCTGTACATATGTGCAATGTAAGTATGAGGTCCTGATTGTTTACATGTAACAAACTAAATGTCAAAATATCGTGTTCCTGAAACTTTTTAGGAATTCGTAAGCAGAAAAATAACGATTTTAGGCTTAACTGAGTCAATATAATAAGTTAAATGTCTATAATATATAACTTTATGATTGAATTTTACTTACCAACTATACACACTTTCATTCTTGCAAGACCTAACACAACGAATAATATTTGATTCCACTAAAATCACATGATCATGAAGCTTGCAATTAAAGGCCTGAGCCAGAGCATTCACTATTGGTTTTGTGGTTGGTATTGCTATGTATAGCG